TAAACCCGTGCGCCACAACTACTGAGCCTATGTTCTAGAGCCTACGAGCCACAACTACTGAAGGCCATGCGCCTAGAGACCGTGCTCCTCAAAAAGAGAAGCCACTGCAATGAGAAGCTCATGCACCGCAACAAAGAGTAGCCCCCGCTCGCTGCAACTAGAGAAAGCCCACACACAACAACGAAGACCCAATGCAGCCAAAGGGGGGAAAAAATTAAGTGAATTAATATGAAAAGGTCAGTAAAAATATACAGGTCTGTAAATCCTTAAAATCAATAGACACAATAAATAGAAAAACCTGAGTATGTTTGTCATTACAAAAAGTAGAGAGTTAATGTTTAACTAAATGGAAGAAAAGTTCCAACTGAGATTGTTCAAAGCATGATTCAATGTTTGTGCCTTGACGTTTGGACTTCCTTACATTTTAAACATTGCTATAACCAATAAATAATTATGGTCAGACTAATAAAAAAGGAAAATATAAAGCAAACAGTTTGTGGCCACTGTGATTGCTTTTTTGCTGTGTCCACTTGGGTAGGCTGCAGTACCCAGTTATTCAAGAAAGTGCTAACGTAGGTGTTGCTGCAGATATGATTAAAATCTCTAATCAATTGATTTTAAGTAAGTAAGATTATCCTGGATACTATGTGGGGCCTGATTCAATCAGTTAAAAGGCCTTGAAAGCAAGGCTAAAGCTTTCTCAAGAAGAAGAAATGCAGCCTGTAGGCAGCAGTTTCTACCCATGCCTGTGAGTTCAAACCTGCCCATGCTATTCCCTTAATTCTTTCCTCATGGCCTAGCCTACAGATTTCAGATGCTCACAATTGTGTAAGCAAATTTCTTGCAATGAGTATTTTTGGGTGTGTCTGTCTCCCTCCCTCATAAATATGTGTGTGTATTGTATTATATGTGTGTGTGTGTGCATGTGTATGGATAGATATTTAGAGATATAGATAAACAGATAGACCAATAGATAGAAACATAGATACATAAATACATAGATATAAAGACAGACAGATCAGTCAGGGTTCAACCAGAGAGGGAGAATATATATTCAGGACTGTGACTGATTGATCCATCTTGAGGGAAGTTCTTGGGAAGAGGTATTTTTGGTTTGGTGTTAGTTTTTAGGGAAAGTGGGCATGGTTGTCCTGCAGATAGCAGCTAAGGTTATGAAAGAGAAAAATTGGGGTTAGTAATACAAGGTTTAAATTACATCTGCATTCTCTAGAGCTTCTTGAGGACTTCATGCATTGTTTTTCTACCTGACTTTGGTGGAGTCAGTGTAAATAATATAGCAGTTGATGGATCTACACACTGATCTCAATACTTCTGCCTGGTGCTACATGTAAAGATGCTTTATGGGAAAAGAGTTGGTGAAAATACAACACACTACTGCTTATTTTAAATGGTAACGCATCACAAAATAACTTGCATCTGACTATAGAAAAAAATTCCATTTTTGATGTAACAAACAATAAGGAAAATGACAGTCACTTGATAGATTTTCCCACTGAACCATCTGTGAAACTATTTGACCCATTGATAATAGTCTATTAGGTTCATTAACCTAAAATTTCATTCATGAGGCATAGTGGAATAAGCTCTAAAATTGTATGTTAATTATTGAAATATGAGTTTCTATAAGCTCATTAATTTTCAAAAGTTATTTAGAAACCCTCAGGGATTCCATTAAGCCCACGCATACCATAGCCATACTCTTTGGGCAGGGAGCAGAGACAGAGAAGATCACTTCTATTTTTATAACTTGGAGGTTTGGGGTCTGCCTTGAATGTGAAGTCCAAATATGATGTTTATTTCCAGTACAAACTAGTTAGAAAAACTCTGTGCCACATTATTGTCATCTGCAAAAAGGCAGGCAATATTTCTAGATTTGAGTGCTGCATGGATTAAATGCAGTAGAGGCAAAGCTTTAAAAGTTGTGAAATTTATCCCTTGTGTTATTTTATACAACTTCTGCAAGCTTTCATTTGCAAATGAAAAGTCTTTCCTTTTGGTTCTAAAATTATATTCATCTATGTAGATTTTTATCATGTGGAAAATCTATCAGAGTTTTTCCTGTGTTTTTTGTTTTCTAATGATCCAGTGGATGTTTGAAACACACACACACATATATAATATATATAATATAATATATATATATTTTATATATATATATATAATCTCCGAAGTTATAGCAATACACCCCACTATATCTTTAGGCTTGTCCAGTCAAGCTCCTGAGAGCAGATTGAAAGGCTGAAAGAGAAAAACAGAGAAATTACCATAATATACCATAACACTGATTTTGAGAAGTCTCAGAAAGGTAAATTAGTGCCATAATTACAGTAAATTGTTTCGTGGCCTCTGTAAACCAGAAAGAAACCCATTTCTCAGTTGTCATCGAGGTCCTCATAAATACTTTTGGGTGATACTCTAGAAGACAAAAAAATATGCCATTCCCACTTGAGAATGAACTTCATAGGTCGACATAGGGATTTGCTTGATCTGTATAATAGAAAACGTGCAAACTTGCTTTCCTTTTAAAGCTATTTATTTAAGGCAGCAGATATATATCCATTGGAATAGCTAGGCATGTTTTATTAAGGAACCTTAATTAAGGAGTCAAAATCTCAGTGGCTCAACACAGTGAAGGTATATTTCTTGCTCCTCCTCTACTATCTTATGCCTGGTCTCCAGGACTGAGAGCCTCCATCTGGTCTCTCTGTCATTCCTCCATATTAACACGGGAGTGTACAGTCTCTGACCCAGGAGAAGAGGGAATTGGAGAATTATTCATCAGTGTCCTCATTTCATTGTGGACACAAGTCACATGGTCACTGCACCTCACAGGATCAGGGAAGCACAATCTTGTGTGTCCCCAAGGAGCAAAACCAGCCAACCTGCTGAGTAGCACTGAGAACTACCATGGCAACTACTGCAGTCTAACCAGTTTTGCATCTTCAGTGTCATCACAGACCAGTAGAGTAGGCAACATAGTATTAGAGAAACCTGTTATTTGTGTAATATTTAACACTTTATCTCTAGGTGTGATTTCAATTGAAGTGATGCTTTGTTTCATCTAGCAATGACTTCTGAACAAAATTACTATTTATCTTTTATTCTGGAGGTCTTATGAATGAAATTTTTAAATTTTATTAAGCTCAGTTGAGTGATTCTAAGTATAATTCTTACCGTTTTTTTCACACTTTGAATTTTGTTCAATTCCAATTCAAATTAGCAGATCACATTTATGTAATGGAACACAGAGAGAAAGTTCACTGGACATTTGTCTATTGATACTATTAGGACAAATTCCTATAATCTTTTTTTTCAGTCTCCACTGACATTAAACATCAAAAATTACCAAAGCATATTCTAATTTTTGGATATTCTATTCTTTGGACAGTAACAGAAGAAAAATAAATCTCAAACTTTACAAAAATGTTGCCAAAACTTTTACGGGTCAACTCAATTGACAGGAATCTACTTTAGATAAGTGCTTCTTATATGGAGGATACATATTTTATTACTAAATATATTATAATCATGTAGAAAGCAGAAGAAAGTAAATCACAGGCTTATTCGTAACAGTGTGTACTTTTGCAGTGCTAATAAAATTATTTCCTCCTGAATGTTTAACCGTGTAGTTTATACATCATAGACTTTGAAAATAAATATGAAATCTGAGATGTACATTTGTTTATAAGAGGCATAACATCAAATCCTCTGTAGAATGAGTGTGATCCCTCTTTCCCACAAAATCAAATGTATACGCTTTGGTTTGAGTGTCGGTATGTGTAAAAGGAATGCTTTGAGGGTAGTGAAGAATTGCATCTACCTACCTCAGAAAATTGAAACTAAGACATGATGCCTTGATTTACTAAGAATTCATGGGTAGGTAAGGCTAGTTGGTGTACAGTTTGGAAAACGCTGACTCTGAGGATACAGTTACTAGTTTCAAACTCAGGAAAAGCCACTATGTTTGATGGTTAATATTCTTTAATTTTTATCCTATGAAAGAAAACAATATTTCTAGAATGTCAGAGAGAAAACTTGAGCAACTACCTATATTTGCCAAGTATCTTTCAATATATTAAAAATAATTATAGGGCTTCCCTGGTGGCGCAGTGGTTGAGAATCTGCCTGCTAATGCAGGGGACACGGGTTCGAGCCCTGGTCTGGGAGGATCCCACGTGCCGCGGAGCAAGTAGGCCCGTGAGCCACAGCTACTGAGCCTGCGCGTCTGGAGCCTGTGCTCCGCAACAAGAGAGGCCGCGATAGTGAGAGGCCCGCGCACCGCGATGAAGAGTGGCCCCCGCTTGCCGCAACTAGAGAAAGCCCTCGCACAGAAACGAAGACCCAACACAGCAAAAATAAATAAATTAATTAATAAAAACTCCTACCCCCAACATCTTAAAAAAATAATAATAGTAATAATTATATATCAGGAGTAATGCTTTTATGTTAATTTCTTCTTTTTTTGTATTCACAACCTACATTCCTTCTCCATCATTTAAAAATGTGTTAATTTTGAAATGAAACTTTCTTACACACTCAGGGTATGTGTATAAATCAGATCAGGAATTTTACGTTTTATTTTTGAAACCAGCTATATATTTATGCTCTGCCAGCATTAGAAGGGAATCTCTGCATAGCCTTTCAATGATATGAAAGGAGTGGCCCTCAGATTGAAGGAGTGGTGGTAACAAGATCGATTAGAGAGGCACCATTGCTTCTTTGTTCCAGATACAATATATTTTCCGAAGTCACCTCACACTGCAAAGGCATTTCTAAATCTTTGTCCACTTATTACAAGAGGCAGCATGGCTCAGTGGTCTGAAATAACAGGCTGGAAGATCAGGGACTGTGAGTTCTGATGTTATATTTAAAAAAAAAAAAAGCAAAAATGTTGCTTGGTCTTTTTAGATACCTTTAAAATGTTTCTTTAATATCATGTTCCATTTATTCTTTCCTTTTCTTTTTTTTGTTCTGTTCAGGTGGCATTTATCATATGGGTCATGGACACAAAAGTAAAAGTCAAGGCTGTCCCAGTGACTAAAAGCCACCATAGGAACAAGTAGGGATGCATCTCACAGAGACAGCGGTTTCCTTCTTGTTTGATGAACACCTGGAAGATTCCCAAAATAGTTGAAAAGTAAGTATTGGTTTAATACTTATAGAACAGAATGGGATGCAATTAAGAAAGAAATCTCAGCAAGCTGCACTTAAAGCACTGGGTTATGGCAAAATTGAATCTGTGGGAATATTTCTGTAGTACTCATTTAAAATGGGGTATGAGGATATGGCCCCAACTGAGATGTCCGTTGCCTTCTCTATTTCTCTAAAACTGTCAGAATAAGTCATTCAAATATCAAGTTCCCTTTTCAGGTCATATGCAAATTTTAGTGTGTTCTGCTGAGTTATATCTGTAATCATACAACATTTTTCCTCTTTCATGTTTGATGTGGGCTTTCAACATTCTAAATCTCATAAAATTAAAAGTGAAGAAGCTATTCAATAAAGGCACAAATTGAAACAGAGCCAAATCAATGCTGAGTAGAAATGAGCTTCACTGGTTTCTGACAGACCAGAATTAGATTTACCCCTCTAATATGTAAGGCAAGGCCAAAGCACTCTCTCCCTCCAACAGTTTCTGCAGATGGTAGAAGTCACTTACGAACCTGCGATGTACATCTTGCAAAGATTTTCTTTCTGTTACGTCTGAGGGCCTCCTTTATGACCCTAAAATATAACTAAACTTAATTGCAGTCATGTATATTTATCTGTCCTGGGCTAATAATGAGTTTTCATTTTAAAGGATCCACAGTAAGATTTCTGGTGCAACATCAAGTGTTATACACTGTGGGGAAGAATTCCATTGTACAAAAACGATATGAATTGCCAATGAGAGCTCATTGATAACTACACTATACATTTTAAAAAGTAAATATTTATAAGTCTCAGTCTATTTTTTTAATTATAAAAGAGGTCATTTTGTAATGTCAAAAGAAGCTAATCTGAAATATTTAGGAACTAGAAGCAATAGGAAATAGATGTGTCAGAGAAGTGTAAACATGTGATTAACATGCTGGCTTCAGGAAAGAAATGCATGGGTGTAATTAAATAATAGAAAAGTTTTATTTACTTGGTGTCCTGTCCCCCCAAAATTACATCAAATTTCTCAGCTTGGACATTTTCTTAAATGTGTCAAATTGTTCACTGTTGCCATATCAAATAAATGTCTTACTTGTATTAGTAATAAAATAGTTCACACACACACACACACACACAACACTAAAGCAGGCTTATAAAATTTCATCCACATTTTGGCTGTGAACATCTATTGCAAAAGAGCCCGTCTAACTTTTTCACGGTTGATTTCTTTCTCAGAAGTCTTAAAGCATTAAAAGTATTTTATGAACAATTTTAATACTGCAAACACTTTCATAGGTACAAAACAAGTCTCGTTGCTTGGAAATGCTGAAGTCCTAGATCTTCATATTGAAAGTCATAGAAATTTTAAAAGATAGCAAAGTTTGAAATGAATTCTTGTTAATGAGGTAATTTTATGTTGTTTAGGCCAAAATTACTTTCATAGGATAAAAAAAAAAATCATTAATGGTAAAAAACGTTTTTAGCCTAGCAAACACTCGACAAATACTAATTCTCTCCTTAGGCCTGGGAGGAAACTTATTAATCATCTTCTAATCCAATAATTTGCCAAATGTAGTTGTTTCATTGCAACATCTCTGATAGCTATCTCAGAAATCAAAGGCATTCCGTTTCAATCTGCTTGTTTTAGAAATGGAAAAAACTTGTCCTATTGAAGTGATTAAATCAAGATTACATAGCAAAGAGCTGATTGAAGACAAGAATCTAGTTTTTTTTTAATGCCAAATCTGCAATGTTGTTTCCAAATCAGATGAAGCTGTTTCCTTTGTCTGCTTCTTCAGAAAGCATTAAAACAACTGAACTTATCCTATTAGAGCTAATACAACCAAATAGAAACAATGATCTGTGTTTCATTTTTATTATAAAATGTATTATATATACTGCTCTTTGCAGCATTTGACAAGAAATGTCTTTGTTCTGATGTGGTCTGCCATGCATGTATACATTCTCCCTCTCCCTCTCCCCCTCCCTCTCCCCCTCCCCCTCCCCCTCCCCCTCTCCCTCTCCCTCACACACACACACACACACACACTCCCACACAGGCTCACATGATTTCTTTCTCAGACTGTTGCAATAGCCTTCTTGTTGAAACTCTGCATTTAAACTGTTCACACCACCCTTCCTTCTCTGGCTCTCAGCTCCCTATTAATCCTTTCCTCCACACAGCTTCTGATTTAATCTTTCTGGGATTAAAAAACCTGACCATGTTTCTCCTCCAACCAACATTCTTCAGGTGTCTCATACATGACATATAAAATCCTTTCTGATAAGGCCATTACCCCACTATTGAGTTAAGCTTTGTTCTGTGCTCTCCTTAATTTTTTTAGAGCATTTATTTTGGAATAATGTTAGATTGACATAAAAGTTGCAATGATAGTGCTGCAAGTTCTCATAGACCCCTCACCCAGTTTCCACTAAGGTAAACATCTTTCATTACCATGGTGTAGTTAAAAAAATTAGGAAACCAACATCGGATCAGTGTGTGATGATTGACTCAATTCCAGATTTTATTCAGATCGTACTTGCTTTTATCTAATGTCATTCTGTTGGGATTCAGTCCAGGTTACTGTATGACACGGCATGTGTCATCATATCTCCTTAGTCACTCTAGTCTCGAGAGAGGGCCTCCTTTGTTCCTATGGCTCCACATGGAGGAGCCCAGAGACAGAGACGAGCATGAGCTGTAGGGATGCTCGGATGACTACTCTGGCAAAGGTTGGGAAACCCAGCCTAGATGAGAGGTTGGGAATGTGAGCAGCTAGCAGGGCTGAAGAGAGTCTGTGCTGCTTCTCTGACAAGGAATTCCTCAGCCAGGGAGATACAGACTGAGGTGGTATAGCTTGCCCCCAAATCACTCACACACACCACCTACCTGGACACATTTCCTGCAGCAGAGGCCATCAGCACCAGATGGAACCAGCCAGACCCCCAAAGTCAATGCCGTAAGGGGCCCTCTGCTGCCCCAGCTGTCTGGCACATACCCCACCTTCACGCCAAGGCTCTGGGAGCATAGGCTGAGCTCAGGGAAGAGAAGAGCTGGGCTCTAAACTGATTATTGCACAGAAGTTTTTAAAAGGACAAGAAGACTGAGTCGTGACACATCTATGAAATGATTACACATGCACATCTATTTCCCCACCTGACTGTTCATTCCTGGGAGTTAGGAACCATATATTTTTGTCTTATACCCACAGCCTCTTTTGAGAATTCTCAACTGGAAGTGGGGATAGGGGAGTGTTCTTCCTTCTCCAGAATGTTTGGAAATGAGTTGAGGTTTTTGTTCTTTGTTTTTTATTTTCTTTTTTGGGAGGGGGAATGTTCAAGGTATTTAGTCAGTGGGAACCATTAATTCTAAACGGTCTGCAGGATCCTGCACCATAGTGGAGACATGAGTGAAGGGACAAATGCATGAATGAACGAGTTAGTGAATGAATTTATCTATTCATTATTGATATGATAAATGCAGTCAAAACTTTTCTAATGAGCAAAAATATGGCTTCCAAAACAAATGAAAAGGGATTTTAAAGTCTTTGAAACTCAAACATTAACATAAAAATAAAGCCATGCTTTGTATAGGACCAAGAGTAATCTACATTCCCACCTTCTATACTCACATTTTAATGTGAATTTTATTAACATGTTTGCTAGGACACAGAGCATATTTTTATTCCCCTAAAATTACAAATTTTCTTCCTTAAGTATATCTCCTAAGAATCTCCTAATAGTATAGCTTACCCATACACAGTCCTAAAAATAGAATTTCTATCCAATGTGCCCCTTTTTTTCCCATCTAAGCTCTTTCTTGGTGTCACATTTTTTCTCCCTTTCAGTGCTGTCTTCAATCATCCAAAATCCATCACTACTATATGGCTGCGATTAGTAGAGTATGGATCCAAATAGAAGCACTGCTCTGGGTTTTATTTTCGTTCCCCAATGTACATTCCATCCACATGATTGCCAGAGCCTCTGAGAATGCTAATTTCTCATCCTATTCTTCTTAGGCAAATGTGCTAAGGATGTGGCCGCCCAGCCCCTGAAATGATGGGGAATAGAGGGAGTCAGGAAGCTGGGATGGCTGATGTTTCTTTAACAAAGTCACTACCATCTTCTGTGAAGTGTCAATGACTTGGTGGGTTTTTTCCTGCCAAAATTGTGCACGTATGTGACTCCAGCTTTCTTTACAAGGGGAGCCATGACCCCCATAGGGCCTCCATCTGTCTGCCTGGAGCAGGTGGTCTCATTGGTATGGCAGTCGCCATGGTTAAAGCTCGTTAGAAGATGTGCTGACATTGATGTCAGGTCTTCACATTCCATTATTTTCTTCAAGCATGTTTACCTTTACATTGAGAAAGTCTGTGCTATCATAAAAGAAAAAAGAAATCTCCTGTGCTTTAAGATACTCTAATACATAAATGTAAGCCATTGACTGTGGGGAAATCAGGAGGTGTGATTTCAGAAGCATCACTTATATAGGAAACAAGTCCATTTGAAACATTTCTATCATACAAAAGAGTCAACAGACCTTTTACCTGACCAGGAGCCGCCATCTCCCACCCCAAACAAGTAGGTAAGTCTTTGGAAAACCTTTAAAGTATTTCAATGTAAAGATTTCTTTCTGTCTTCCTTTTTTTTTTTTGCCAAAATCTGAAAGTCCATATTCTTAGTCAATTCTGATTCAAAACAAGACTAGAAATAGCATACTGGGACATTTTCATTCCTAAAAGTTCCAGCTGGAAATTCAGCAGAAACTGTTCCTTTGGCACCTCCCAAGAAATATGACGGGTTTCAGAGCAGCAGCTGAAGTAGAAAAAAAATGAGGACCCACCATCACCAAAACAACAACAAAAACAGCTATTGAAATGATTTAGTATCTAAGGTTCAGGGGATTTTTTGCTTTCTTTTTTTTTTTTTTCCGTTTGTTTTGAAGTTGCAGCAGGAGATTTGTGTAAGTTCCCGAGACTACAGATGGATAAACAC